CTAGCCCAGGAAAAATGATCAAAAAGGACTGCTATACTAAGATCTGGCCCGCTTGGACTAGGGCTTAGCTAGGGTGGGCAAGGAGAGTTCCTAGCCCAGGAAAATGATCAACAGGACTGCTATACTAAGATCTGGGCCGCTTTGACTAGGGCTTAGCTAGGGTGGGCAAGGAGAGTTCCTAGCCCAGGAAAATGATCAACAGGACTGCTATACTAAGATCTGGGCCGCTTTGACTAGGGCTTTAGCTAGGGTGGGCAAGGAGAGCTCCTATTGCCCCCCCCTCCCCCCACGCTACCTCTGCATCCCTCTTACCACCACCCCACAAACTCTCTCACTAAAACCATTATTTTTCTGTCCCCCCACCCCTTCCCCCCTTCACTTTCCTTCATGCTCTCTCTTAGTCCAAGAGAGCAAATCTAAAAACCAGACACATTATTCTGTGAAATCATACAACTTTTAACAGGAAGCATATATGTATTTTTGCAGCAAGATAGTTAAAGTGGTTGAAAAGGCTCAAAGTCTTTTATGCATAAAGGTAAAAAAATCTTCTGTGTGAAGCAGCCCCTCAATTCAGCGATGTGCACCAGAGCAGCGTCTCTCCAGGGACTCTTCCTCCTCATTGGTTGATACAGCAGCAGGAGCCTTTGGCTTTGGGCTACTGTTGATCACAGCCAGTGAGTCAATAAGGAAGGAGTGTGGGGCGGGACAGAGCCATGCTCCACGTGTGAATGAACAGACAGATCAGTGGCTCGGGAGCGAGCCTGCGTGGGTGCCTCCATACCAAGCTGCTTGCTATAGGGGCACTTGGCAGGGGGGAGGGGCCAGGAGCGCTGGCGGGGAAGCCGGGAAAAGCAAAACTGAGGCTGCTCTGTGCAAAACCGAGGCTGCTCTGTGCAAAACCATTGCACAGAGCAGGTAAGTATGACATGTTCATTATTTGAAAAAAAAAAAAAACAACTGCCTTTGATATCACTTTAAGTATCAAGACAAGATAAGTGACTTAGTAGACATACAGTATTTGTCAGCTATATCCATCTACATTTTGTAACAAAAAGTTCACTTAGTTTTGTTGCTTCACTGAGATCTTTATCACTTGTAAGCTTTCAACTTCACAAAATTTCACATTTATTGCTTAATTAATTAGCTCACTACAGGAAGGTTTCTACCTAGCCCAGAGTTTCTGAAAGCTTCTGCTCATAGGATGGCTGGCAAATCAGCGTATATTTTTCAGCAGCTTTTTAAAAGAAACAAAAAAACATGGGGGAAATAGACGTATATTCCAGCAACGTACTAGGTATTTTTTTTTTTTATCATGCCCATACAAACAATACATCTGAAACCAGCATTATTCCAGAGTAGCTAGGAAAACATTTTTGGCTTTTTAAAATTGTATTCAATGAAAGGTAAGTACATGCTGTTACTTTTTATAGCTTTTTAAAACCATATGTAGTCTACAAATGGCTGGTGTACATACAATATGCTCTGCAGATTGCAGCTCTGGAAAAATTTCTTGTATGTCCAAAGATTACTATGTAAACATCATGGTCCGGCCACAGGACAGACAAATATCCGTGTTTTCAACATATGGAACATTGCCCTGATCTTATAGTTCTCTAGACTGAGCAAAGCACAATCCTTCCATCAAATATATTTAGCTCCATAAATGATGACCTTTTACTATACATTATTTGGTAACTGCAGATAAAACAACATGAAGGTAAAATACAAAGTTATAACTAGGTAAAAAACTCCCTTTACAGCGATTCAACCACATAGAGGGCTCAGGGATATGCAAGTGTGTATTCTAGACTTGTGCAAGGATTGCTCGATCTTTTCCTCCATGTTATTTTATAACTACGCCTTCAAAAGGAAATTCACAATTTTTCAAAAACTTGGATACGGCCACAACCACCATTTTGCCCCAAGTCTAAGTTTAGCCTAAATTGGAAGCATAAAAATCAGCACAAGAGCAAAGAGGCATAACTTACATTTATTATATGCTGGTTCTTTTGGTTTAGGAGAAATTTTCGTCTTTCCTACCCCCTTCCAATAATCTTTCGATGCATTAGGGGGTAATACAACTGAGGGGCTGTCAGGAGCTTTCTTCAATCGAGATTGACTATGGCCACCCAATCCGCACCAATGTGCCGTTCACAGAAGCCATTACTACAGCTTCCATAAATGACACAGGATCTCTGAATGAGGGATAGGTGGGATTGATAGCCCCAGCCCCTCCATTCAGTAATCCTGTGTCATTCATGGAAGCTGTAGTACAGCATCTACAAATGGAGCAGCGAGGCAGAAAGGGCAGGTACAGTCAAGCTCTCTTGATGAGAGATCCTGACAGCCCTCAGTTGTATTAACCCATGCCACACCAAAAGATTATGGCGGCATGGCGAGAGGGGGGTAGGAAAGACGAGAATGCCTCGTAAACCTATAAGAGTCAGCACAAGGGGCACATTATAATAAATAAGTTATGTAACTTGTGCTGATTTTTATGTTTGTAATTTAGGCTACATTTGAGCCTTATTGAACTCCACATCAAAATGGTTATTTTTTGTCAGTTCTCCAACAAATGATGTTACCCAGCTCTTTCCATTCATATTTACCCAAGCCAGTATGGACGAATAGAAAAGACCCTCGACTGTTCAGTTCATTGCTCCTCATAATCCAGTTCTAAAACATTTTTTCTCTGTTTGTCAAGAGAAAAAGTAGGCAACTCTGACTGCCTGTAAGAGCTCCTCAATAAGTCTACCTTTTAAAGAATAGCCAGAGGATCTGACTATACCTAAACTTGTACGCACCCCAATTCCACCTCATTAAAGCATCTGAAATAAAAGGCTGACTCATCTGAGTAAGTGCATTTACATGATTAGGCAGGTCTTGAGGAGCAGGAAAAGCCAGAAAGGGGACCATAATAATCACAGGCACACTCTCTGGCTGTAAAAGTTTCTTGAACCTTTACTTGAATGGTAGAAATCACAGATTTAACATAAGAGGAACCCCTTTTCAGCCAGAATGATTTCAGGATATCATAAGGGTTCCTATTTGATGATGATAATTTGTTTGGACAAATTCAACACGCATTCTTGGTTTTATAGGCAGTATTCTTTCTCTATATTGGCAACACAGCAAGAGGGAAGAAAACACTAAAATAATTAAAGCCTGGTTCAAAATAGTGAGCTTTGAGTTTTGAAAGCGATTACGGGTACAGTGCAGTGCAATTTTTGTGTAAGTGCTTAACAATTGTAATGTGATTTTTGAGGTGAGTGTTTTGGCTGTAATTTTATGGACTACTACTTAACAAAATTGCATCAAATACACAAGTACATGCCTTTCTGATGCGTTTCCATCGAAGCCAATGACCACAAAATCGTACTGCATTGCACCGAAGCAGCACAGGACTCTTTCCCAAAGCCACACTGCAGCAGCACTGCACTGATGTGAATGGCCACCGTTTAATGTTACTTCCAACGGCATGCAATTCTGTACAACTTAAGCTGCATCAGAAATCGCACTAGTGTCAATCAGGCCTAAAAGTAAATATAGCCTTGCACTATTACTTGTGAAAAGGATAGTGGTATGCAAGGACAGTACATGAAAAGACCACGGGAAGCCATCTGGACCTTACACTGCAGAAGTTTCAGTCTGTGACATAACCCCAGTCCTCTGAGCAGAGGACTGCTGCTACTGTGATGATGAAGGCTGTTGTACAGTCTGCTAGTGCTTCTGTGATTTCATAGTCGCAATGGTAACCCGAATGCAAAAAAACATATACAGTATAACATGGGGAAAAACAAGCTACCCTTTTCCTGATCTACAGGAACTGCCAAATCTGTAAGTGATGTACCTAGTAAAGTACCTTGAGCCATTTGGACTGAAGTGCAACCATGGAACTGCTGCACAAGGAGACCAAAGTAGTCTGAAGCTGCCCACACATGGTTCAGTTTTTTCTGGTCAGCCAGCCGACTTAACACAAAAAAAAAAGAAAACTGAACCAATTTCCCCATCCACACATTCGGTGTAGATGCAGAAATCCTCCCCGCTGTGACATTGTGTTATGACAGGTGGAAATGTTTCCCTGCCTACCTGCCATCCTAATACACAAAGCAGTGCTGCAGAACTGATCGAATGGAAATTTTCCAGCAGTCTCGTTTGTGAGAAGTCGATTGACAAATCAACTTCTCATAAACAGGAAAGGCTACACATGGATTGAAATTTGCCAGGTACCTGCTGAACTGGCCAAATTTTGATCCATGTATTGCCAGTTTAATTTTGGGGCACTGGTAGCACCCCCACCCAGAATCTTCTCACCATCAGACTAAAAGAGAGCAAGAGACAATAGTCTAGGGATCACCAAAAAGAAAATAAAAACAATACTGCTGGGAGCTCTGATGTTACCTAGTAGAGACACGAAAACAACTGAATGATTATGTTGGAGTTTTTTTTTTAAACCTTCCTGTATGCTTTTTGTACCTAGTGGGTGGAACAGAGGAACCTCTGGAGGGCCATTTTATGCAAAATCTGTTGAACTTTATGGGTATTTCTTTAAAAGGGATTTTAGCAATTTACATCAGCAATATAAATATACAGCCCAAAAACACAATAAACAACTCATTCTAAAGTATGAGAGCTTCCACATTTCTATATACTTCTAGGGAAGGGTGACTGAAGTGATGAAAATTCACAGAGCCACAGTACAATCCACAACTTAGCAGGCAACTTTGAGGAGTTAGGTGCAAGCTGTAACATACCCCCAACCCCCTTCTACACACACTTTACACCACCAAGATTTCCCATCTTGGCACCATCAACCTACCCTGGGTATAGGATCTCACTCTTGCCCCACTATAGATCTAAAATTAGAAGTGAGACCCTTTGGTCATTGGTATATAAGTGGACAAACTGAAACTCAGGCGCAGAGATCTGACTCCTGAATAGGTTTAAACAGTGTTTTTCATACTGTACTGGAATTTCAAGATTCAAAGAAAAGGTCTTACCAAATGCCACTGTAAAGGAAATTTAGGATCATTAAAGTGCAAGCTCCTTTTGGATCTCTTCAGTAGTTTTTGTTCTGAGAACCATCTCACGCTGTCATGTTGTGTGAAAAGGTCATGAACTGTCTGACGAACTTCGTCATGACAATGTGCATCACCTATATGTACAAACAGGTAATGGTCTTTTAATTCTCCAACAACTCCTCGGTTTTCAAGCCCTGCAGCGTCCGAAAGTTCATTGGCGAGGGCATCCAACTCCTCTCTCCGTCCAGAGCCTTGAGAGGGGTCCAGACGGACAGCCCAGGTCAGCTCTTCCGCCAGCCTTGTGGCATCGGCGTCGTTACTGGAGTGAAAGCAGGCAGCATGTGTGGAAGCCAAGAGGAAGACTGACCAGGTGAGAAGACAACAAAGGCACATGTAGAAGCTGGAAAAATACAACATTGTGATGGCCCATTACACAGGAAATGACCCAGCGAGGGCATTGGGACCTGTGGGAAAAAGCACACGATCATTAATAATGAGATCCAAAATAAAATCAAAGATCTGTGGCCTGAGAGGAAATTCATTTTCAAGTTATTTTTTTTGTAGTCACCACATTTATCCTCTCCACTATAAAAAAAATTATGTTTTATTTAATGTAACAAAAGCAACATTGTTAAGGTATGATATAGGGAGGCATGTTATAAAAAAAGAAAACTAAAATAAAATAAAAAAAAAAAGGTTTAATTTGAGATTATCCAGACTACCCTGACTATCTCAAAGTAAACCTGTGTTCTGAGAAATATGATTGCAACCAATGCTGATCCCAATTTATTGTCTATGCTCCATTTGGAAGTGCCAGATACCTGCCTATCATGCATCCCACTAGATTCAATACTATTTAAGCCAATGACATGGAACAGATATTCAGACCAACCAAGTCAAATAAATGTCATAAGTCTTTATCTCCACGTTGTTCCAAATCAGTGACTTAAAGCCTGGCCGAAAAACTCATAGTTAGCAAACCCCGTTCTGACTTATTGCTTGGACACTCCAGTCAGTGGGCACTTGCCCCCCCCCCCCCAAATCACAGAGGAAAGCACTAGTCCTCATTCAAAATCCGTCAGCAATGCTGAGCTCATCCAATGCTAAGGGGAAGACCGAGCACACCAGGCATGTGTGAAGGACGGGGAAGGATCATTTCTTCAGATACCGATCTCCAACTACCATATCTTTTACTTTTCAAAAAAAAGGGTCTTTTTACTGAATAGAGATTTAAAATGTATGTTTTATTTTTGTTTTAACAAAATGACCACTATTTTCCAATGAATAAGTCCATTAAAGGATAAGTTCAGGTTTTAGGGCAAAATTTCACTTTTCATAATAAATAGAAGCGTTTTCCAATGTCATTTCTGGCCCAGCCATCCCAATGTGTTTTCTCTCACTTATCCATGGGAGGTTTAAAATCTAGTCAGTTTATTTGAATATTTGAACGGATTTCCAGATTCCATCACTTCCTGTAGGTCATCTCTCAGCAATCACTTCCTGTAGACCATCTCCCAGAGGCCTTCACTTCCTTGTTGCATCACAGTCAAGGGTGTGATAGAGTGTGTTCACCACTCTGGACCACACCTCCCTTACACTTACTTTCTATACAATCTGATTGTACAATCACCTTTAGATCTCCCCTCAGCTATGTAGTAAAAGGACCTGTCTGATTTGATACAAATTGAATAGATTGTTCAGGTGTGTCCTCCTATTCCATAGGTCTGGTAAATCTAAAGGATATTGTACAATCAGATTGCATAGTGTATGGCCATCTTTATAAAGTACATAGGAGGGAGTGAACAGAGATTCTCAGTATTCAGACCCCGTTCGCATCTCCACGAAGTGAAAACTCACATTCCCACATGCATATGTTTTGGAGCGTTTTCACTCACGCATAGGGCAGCCCATTCACTTGAACAGGCTGCCATAAATGCAACAGTTGCCCCAAAGAAGCTCCAGAACTTTTTTTTGGAGCAGAGAACGGTGCATTAGTGTAGTTTTTTTTTGCTTTTGTCACACTTGGGGTGCCTGTAGCATCCTAGCGGTCTGATTATGTCAGTATTTCTGTGCTCAAAGCGGTACATTTTTTGTATTGGAAATATGTAGTTTTTTTATTGCAGGCCTGTAATTTTTAGGAATAACTCACTAAAATCTGTCCGAACAAGAGTCTAGTAAACATCCCGGGTATGATAAAATTTGAAACACCAAATCATAAATTTCGCACATCACTGAGCAAAGTCGCAAAATTGTTTTCAGTGTCTGATGACGAACTTCCCCACAAATCATTATCACTCAATTCTGCAAGTAGTTCTGATTTACTATCGCTGTTTTCTAGCTGATCTAAAACCGCTTTTGACATAAAGGGACATTTTTTGGATGCCATGGACATTTCTCAGTTTCCACGCAGAAAGAACAGTAAAAATGCAGGCAGGGCACAGGACAAAGAACTCGGGACAAAATGTATGTGAAATGGTATCATGTTCTACTATGTGATTTTAGTGTATTTAGTGAATGTCACTTTTTGACCTTTTTAAATTTCCCTCCATTTCCATCCCCTGTACGTCCTGACGTCGCAGGGAACGGAACCCGGAAGACAGATGCCGGCATCGGCCGGATGACATTTCCGGGGACACTGCAGGAGGGACATTGCGGGAGCGCAGGACAAGGTAAGTGAGAAGAGATCCCGGAGCAACGCTGCAAGGAATTCCCGAGTGTAGCTCGGGGGGTTACCGCTTGGGGTGCTGAAAGTTTACCCTGAGCTACACTCGGGAATACCACCAGGGAGGTTAACATGTAATGACAACACAAACACAATGCACATTTGCAGCGTGTTTCTGAAACGCATGGCAGCATGCATTTTTTTGTGTGGTTTGCCATGTGTTCGGAAACACACAGATGTGAATGGAGCTTCGTTGTTCTTGCGAAAACACACCAATATTACTTTCAGGCCCTACTCACACCTAGGGTAGACGCAGCACAGGTTTTTTGGTTTGTTTTTTCCAGTGACACACATAGGGCAGACCGTTGATTTTAATGGGCTGTGCTACATGTGGCAAAGGCTCATGGGACATCTGGTGTGATGTGGGTTGCACGTTTTTTACTGTGCGTTTTGCTGCACTTGTCACTCATTTTTTCACATGGCAAAAATGTGTTTGCTTCTGTGTTTGGAATGTCGTTAACAATTAAAGGCACTGAAAGTGCAAACTAGTTCATTTTAGGTGTATGAAGTTGGCCACACACCATACAGTCTGATTGTACAATCTCTGTACGATCACCTTTAGATTTACAAAAATTATATCATAGGAGGACATACCATCTATCCAATCAGGCAGGTCCTAGCACTACATGGTTGATGGTAGATGGAAAGGAGATTGTACAATCAGATTGTATAGTGTATGACAAGCTCTATAGAACCCAGGACACACATCTCCTGTTTTCAATTATACAGATTTACCCACATAGGCTGTTATCTGATTGCTCAGAACACTCTGCGAAATGAACGATGTATGTAAGATGAAATTAAGATAGAAAAAAAAAATGGATGCCTGTGCATTTAGTGAGAACGGTGGGTGGTAGTGATCTGCTGGAAGAGGGAAGGCAGCCACAGGTGTGTGCTGATGAAATCCTTCCTGTGCCTTAGTGCCCAGTCATACCGGTGCGATTTGGGAATTGAAATCGCACCTGAAGTCACATCTAATGAAGGTCAGTGTCTTGACATCTGCGATTTGCTGCAACACAATTTCTAAAGTAGTTCTTGCATTACTTTTTCTGCAGTTTTGTTGCAGGTTTACATACATAGAATATAATGGAAATCGCACTGCAAATTGCAAGAAATTGTTGAAAATCTTCACAAGTTGCAATAAAGTCTTCAGAAATTGCGCTTAAATTGCACACAAATCGCGCAATTTTAAATAGCAGTGGTGTGACTTACGGTTTTTTTTCTGTCCTAAATCTACATACCAGCAAGTGATGAAACTTTCTAAGAAATACAGCAAGGGATACGAAAGCTTTTATTTTTCTGCAACAGAGATACATTAATGGTATACTGGTATATATGGGAGATGGAATTTAGAGAGAAATAAAAAGGTGAACTTAGTCTTTAATTTGCAGCCATTTTTATGTTCCTGTTCTCTAAAATCGCTTTCAGGCTTGAGAAAGCAGTTACAGTGCCTTGAAAAAGTATTCACACCCCTTGAAATTTTCCACATTTTGTCATGTTACAACCAAAAACATAAATGTATTTTATTGGAATTTTATGTGATAGACCACACAAAGTGGCACATAACTGTGGAAGGAAAATGATAAATGGTTTTCAAACTTTTTAAATAAATGTCTGAAAAGTGTGGTGTGCATTTGTATTCAGCCCCCTTTACTCTGATACCCCTAACTAAAATCTAATGGAACCAATTGCCTTCAGGAGTCACCTAATTAGCAAATAGAGTTCACCTGTGTGTTACTTAATCTCAGTATAAATACAGCTGTTCCGTGAAGCCCTCAGAGGTTTGTTAGAGAACATTAGTGAACAAACAGCATCATGAAGGCCAAGGAACACACCAGACAGGTCAGGGATGAAGTTTTGAAGATTAAGGCAGGGTTAGGTTATAAAAAAATATCCCAAGCTTTGAACATCTCATGGAGATGTTTTCAATCCATCATCCGAAAATTGAAAGAGTATGGCACAACTGCAAAGACATGGCCGTCCACCTAAACTAACAGGCCGGGCAAGGAGATCATTAGACCGAGAAGCAGCCAAGATGCCCATGGTAACTCTGGAGGAGCTGCAGAGATCCACAGCTCAGGTGGGAGAATCTGTCCACAGGAGAACTATTAGTTGTGCACTCCACAAATCTGGCCTTTATGGAAGAGTGGCAAGAAGAAAGCAATTGTTGAAAGAAAGCCATAAGAAGTCCTATTTGCAGTTTGCGAGAAGCCATGTGGGGGACACAGAAAATATGTGGAGGAAGGTGCTCTGGTCAGATGAGACCAAAATTGAACTTGGCCTAAAAGCAAAATGCTATGTGTGGCAGAAAACAAACACTGCACATCACCCTGAAAAAACACCATCCCCACTGTGAGACATGGTGGTGGTGGCAGCATTATGTTGTGGGGATGCTTTTCTTCAGCAGGGACAGGGAAGCTGGTCAGAGTTGATGGGAAGATGGATGGAGCCAAATATAGGGCAATCTTAGAAGAAAACCTGTTAGAGTCTGTAAAAGACTTGCCACTGGGGTGGAGGTTCACCTTCCAGCAGGACAGCGACCCTCAACATACAGCCAGAGCTACAATGGAATGGTTTAGATAAAAAAGAATATTTATCTGGTTAGAATGGCCCAGTCAAAGTCCAGACCTAAATCCAACTGAGAATCTGTGGCAAGCCTTGTAAATTGCTA